TGACAGTATAATTTCATAATCACTGGAGAATACACCTTCACTGAACCGTAATCCGAGAAGGCCCCCAAATAGTCCTCAGTGATGTTCATGGGTACCCCATGTAAGATAATCTGGGTCTTACTGGTGCCCATATACTCCGTTTGTGTTCTCAAGGTTTTGGTGGTGAATACGCTGCCGGTTAATGTTTTTGCAACCTTAGCTGTTGCCAGCAGGTTGTCCCGCATGGCATTTGACTAACGGACCAACACTGTGGCCCTGATATTTAAGGTTTCCAGGGACTCTTCTATTATTTCCCTGCTCACAGCAATAAACTGTCGCCTACATTATTCCCGAAGGCATTAGTAACAGTTCATGGCCTGAGATAAAGAAACTATAGTCCTCTCTCAGGCCCTTGTAGGATCCAGGTCCTTTATGGGGCTTTTCTGCCGCCCATGCAAACGTGGATGGTTGGGTGGAAATTGGCTGTTTCCTGGGGTGGGGACCTACGCCACAATGGAGAGGTTTCCTCCCCAGTACAAGCAACAAATAATGTTCACAAATCGGACAAAAGGACGAATGCTCTAAACGAGCAAATGGCAATAACATACAGCACGCAGATAAAATACAACACCTACTTCCTCACTTTCTCAATGTAGAAGAGGAAAAGAAAATATAAAACCACACGAAATGATAGAAATGAATATTTATTTCGTATTTAAATACAAAAATTGGCACAAGGCCGAAGGGGAGTTGGGGAAGGTTGGTACTCAGTAACTATCCTAGTCCTAATTAATGAAAATCACGACCCATTTATTCAATACAATATGCTCAATCACCACAAGAACATGACTATCACCCCTTAATCTTACAGGTGCCACAATACCGCATATTCACAAAGGACCTACAAAACACGCCATGCTGTAAAATCTATAATCATACTTATTATAAAACCCAGGTTGTGTGTGTGTGTGTGTGTCTGTACGTTTATATATTCGATTTGGTGGCTAGGATCAAAGTGTAGTATCTGCGCTTTGTGAGCTGCCGGGTCGGGTGTCTGTCGAACTCTTTGCTTGCAGAGAGGAACGCGGACGAAGCTCTGCCGAAGAGGGAGGTTGACGGAACTAGCCAGCTTGGACGGGTTTAGATGGGTTTTATTTTTGGCTGGGCCTACGGGCTCAGACATACCCACATTAAAAAGGCCTTGTGCCACATTCAATTCCTGTGGGTGAATTGATAAATACCATATTCGATCGGATTTCCTACATTTTTCAACCGATTTCAACAAAACTTCAGTGGACTACGTAAGATTACCTTGCAGTGGTTCTGACAGCGCCAAAAATTGGAAAAACACAATTGTTTTTGCACGAAATCAGTTTGAAAACAGGATTAAGAGGCATCGCGAGAATGAAAGGGGGACGACTCATATCGAGTTATATTTATTGTAAAACCCAGGTTGTTTGTGTGTGTGTTCGTTTATATATGGGATCGGATTTCCTACATTTTTCAACCGATTTCAACAAAACTGTTTTTTGGCAGGTAGTGTTTCTTATTGTCTTGCACACTTTTTTTCTTTTTTTTTTACATTCAGAATGCTTTAAAAATTCCATTTACAAGACAATTGTTTATAATAAAATTCTATTCAATCAGTAGACTCATAACGATTGAAAACAAAGTTTTTGTTTGAGTTTGGGTTTGACCAATTCGTAAAAAAAAAAAAAAAAAAAATTAAGACATGCGTGTCCGTCAACCTTAAACAATAATCTTTGTCAATTTTATTTTTCAGTCTTTATGACGGTCGATACTTGATCTATCTCTTACTTTTACATCCCCGGGCAACGCCGGGCTCAACTGCTAGTGTTTTTTATAACGTCTTTTATAATGTCTTTTTGGTATCAACTGGTGGAAATTAATAATTATTCTTGTAAATTTACAAAAATTGTGACACAAGGCCAAGGGGGAAGTGGAGAAAGGTTCGTACTCAGTAACTATCCTAGACTAACTTAATCCCAATCACGACCCATTCATTCAAAGCAATAGGCCCAATCACCGCAAGAACATGTCCATCACATTTCAATCCTACATGTGCTACAATATCGCATATTTATAAGGCACTTGCAAAACACGCCATGCTGTAAAAATTTATAATGTCTTTATATTATCTTTCTTAATGTCTGTTTTGATATCAACTGGTGCGAATGACAGCTAAAAATTATTTCTTTCTAAATTTATATATAAAAAAATCCTACAGATGCATGCTGGGATTTCTTCCTAGCCAATAAAAATATCAAATTATGCGTCTTACATATACTTTTTTTTCTTTCTTTCTTTGAAGTCAAATGGCTATAACCACGTGACTGTATCCCTTTTACGTATGAACACTGTTTCAATTTTATTGTCTTATAATTGCTTTAATTTGTCTGATAATCGGCTTTCCATGTCTTACATTGTTCAGTCCTTGTAATATTTTGCATTGTTTTTTTTTAATTATCTGTTATATTCCGTGCTAAGGGAATAAATACTTAACACCAGGTGGATAATAGAAGAAAGGTTTATTGTACACAACAGGTACAATATGAAATACGGTAGAGTTATACACACAGGTCAATCTAGTAGTGAGTGCCACTAATTGGAAGGTCGGACGTGCTTGCGTCTTCTCTCTCTCACTCTTCCTCAAGTCTCTCGTAGACAGTTGACTTTATAGGTACCTACTACCTATAGTGTAATCATTGATGGGGGTGCTTGGTTATTCCATTACATCATTATCTTTATTAATTATGCTATTGAGATAATTCTTTCAATTTCGATCAAATTGTACCTCCCGACAGGAATCGAACAATGTACCCTTTTTCATCATGGAAATCGCTTTCTATAGCTAAAATGTTGTTGTGTATGATACACCTAATTTACATAAGTGGAGTACCGACCATATAAATATGGGTTGGTACCGGAAGACGACGGAAGATTAAGAGATCGAATCCAGAGACTCTGCCCAGACTGCGACTTAGTCAACCCATTCTGCAGGAACAGTCTTCCCAAGAATATACCAAAACTACCTGTAAATATTGTGTACCTTTTTTCATTGTTTCAATACATTTTGTTACGTACATTTTGTGTTGTATTATTATTATTCCATGCTTATTCAAGCTTCAACAAATGTGCAGCTACAAATTTAGCCACGGGAGACGATCTGCATAGGTAGGGGTTTACAACCGAATGGATAAGAGCGTGGAATTTAAGAGTTTCACTGGGGACATCTTTTAATTTCTTGCAAGTTTCTCATTGATTGTAATCTTCATCAGAATAAGATCGATTTAAATACCCTGGCTTCTTATTGAATATATTGTTTATTGAATTAAAGTACGCTGTACTTTTATTGAATATTTTGTTTATTGGAGTAATTTAATAATTAGTTATGACTTTGTGATGATCATCATCACACACATACATACATACTTACACAAATTCAAATTATACAACAACAAGCATTCATTGGATAATAAATCAACATTACTGTGTAATGGACAATTTATAAATCACAGCTATGCGACAATTTTATAATCGCTATATTTTCATGTAGTCGATTTCGAGGACTTTTGGGAGAATCAAAGGCTTTCTTAGGTCACCCCAAAGCTTCTTTACTAATTGGTCAATAAAGAAACAAGTGAGCGTTGCAATCCACCCACGCACTATATATTTTCCAGCGCGTGACTAAGTCAAGCTTCCCGCGAAGTTGGTGTGATCCTGTCACGTGATTACATTATCTATAAATAGAAAACACGAGTTTGCCTCTTTCACTTTTTTCTCTCTTCTTCCTGCGAAGATGTGACCTTTAAGAATTATCCTCTCGACTACGTGGTCAGACGTTAAATAATATTTCACGCATTCACGTACGTACGAACTCTTACGAACTTTTCCAACCTTCTCACTCACACCACCAATCACATGCTGAATATTCCCTATACTCACATAATATTTTCCGTACACAGCAAAACTGTTGAAAACATTTATTACCAGAGACTATCACAAATCTTCTTTCAGTGAACTTTGTAATACAAATAATAGTTAAAGAGAGACAACTCTTGTTTTACTCAATGCATGCCTTTCTTTCACATCCTTGTTTGTACATCTTGTTAAATACAAATTTTATGTGTAATGACTGTCACGAATGTTAACTAGCATGCAAAAAAAAAAAATATCGATAGCTGCATTCGTCACAAGTGGGAAAAATTTAAATCTGCATGGCACTTTACTCCAATTGGCTCATTCGCTTGATTAAACTCAACGTTGATTCTGATTCCGCAGAACTGGGTTGGGTGTGAAAAAGTATTTGTTGTTACCATTCTTTTTTCATTTGGCTTTTCCAGTTACGGGTCCTTTTTTAAAGCTGGTCGTTTTGTGTTCATTTTGTTTAGTTCTTTTTTAATAACAGGTTAATGTTTAGTATAGAGCTTAGAAAAAATTTGCAGTGTGAGATAGGCAAGAAGTAAGGCATGTATCAACATCAGCACGGCAAAGGGCACTCCTTTAAAGGCAAGGAAGGGCAAAATTATTTTAAGTCAAGTGATGGCCATTGCTATATGAGTCGTTCGATTTTTGAATCAAGCACGGGCAAAATAAATAATGCTGCTAGTTATTAATAAAATATATAATTACTAAAACCTAGATACCGCCAAATGTTCTCACATCATCGGCTGTCCTCGGCTGCCATCGTTGGTTATCGGCTACAGTCGCTCGTTATCGGCTAACATCGGTTTAGGTCATTTGACAGCCGTATTCGAAACATTGAAACACGGTAATACTTATGTCATCGGAGAAGAAAGAAGTCTTAAATCGAGTGACATTAACAATTCCTCTCCATCATTGCTTTCAAATTCAATTTCTTCATTCAAAAGCGTTTTCTTTATTTACCTTCCCCACTGAAAATCTCCACTAGCCTGTCACTAAATTCACGCGCTACTCTGCAAACTCGCGAGATATTCGACGTGAAGACGTATGAGCAATTTATATGATAATCAGGTCGGATGGCCTCACTAGCTGGGAAGACGTGGGCGTGGAAAATTTCGGAGCCGTGGTACTCAACGGAGGAATCGACGTTCGGTTTGTTTTTCATTTTGGTCGGAGGCAATACGGAAAAGGAGTCGGCAGTTTCAATCAAGTTTGAATTCGAGATTCTGGCATTTCTCTTCTGTTTGCTTTTCGCCATGGTTGAACCAGGGAATCAGTAGGAATTGACAAAGAGATCGGCCAATACTAGAGAAATACAATGAAACGTGCGAACTTCGTCATTAAAAACTTTTTTTTTTCTTTAGGCCTACAGTCTCAGCCTGATGAAGTCTGCTTTAGATCAATTTCTCCACAGATATTCTATGTAACTTTGTCATCAGTTTAAATTGATTTATTCGCCGCCATCGGCCAATCTATCTATTTCTTTCTGTTTATATCTAACTAGAAAGCTACATATTTACCTAGATATCTTGCTATTTCTGTTCATCATATATATATATATATATATATATATATATATATATATATATATATATTTCACTGTTTATTATCGATCAATCTTCCTATCTCTATGTACATATCAATTTATCTATCTAACCACTTAGTTCAACTATCTATCTCACTGTTCACTGTCTATATATCTATTTCAGTTTCGTCATTTCTATCCAACCAGAAAAAATAATTATTTTCTTTCTATCTATCTATCTATCTATCTATCTATCTATCTATCTATCTATCACAGTTCATTATCTACCTGTCTGTCTATCTATCTATCTGAATCCATTCATTATCTATCTACCTATCTATCTATCTATCTATCTATCTATCTATCTGAATCCATTCATTATCTATCTACCTATCTATCTATCTATCTATCTATCTATCTATCTGAATCCATTCATTATCTATCTACCTATCTATCTATCTATCTATCTATCTGAATCCATTCATTATCTATCTACCTATCTATCTATCTATCTATCTGAATCCATTCATTATCTATCTACCTATCTATCTATCTATCTATCTGAATCCATTCATTATCTATCTATCTACCTATCTATCTATCTATCTATCTGAATCCATTCATTATCTATCTACCTATCTATCTATCTGAATCCATTCATTATCTACCTATCTATCTATCTATCTATCTGAATCCATTCATTATCTATCTGTCTATCTCACTCTGTTCATTATCCATCAATCTATCTCATACACTTCATTGTCTATATATATATAAATCAATTTGGTCATTTCTATCTGATCAGTAAAAATAATTGTTCTTCCTTTATATATATATATATATATATATATATATATATATATATATATATATATAACTCTGTTCATTATCTATCAATCGTCTTATCGATTTCACTCCCTCTCTATCTTTATATCAATTTATCTATTTAATCTACTCAGTTCATCTATCTATCTATCTATCTATCTATCTATCTATCTATCTATCTCAATTTGTCCATATCTATTTATCAGTTTAACTTTCTTTCTTTTTTAATCTATCTATCTATCTATCTTACCATGATTCTTTCGTCTTTCCTTTCTTTCTTTATCTATCTATCTATCTATCTATCTATCTTACCATGATTCTTTCGTCTTTCCTTTCTTTCTTTATCTATCTATCTATCTATCTATCTATCTTACCATGATTCTTTCGTCTTTCCTTTCTTTCTTTATCTATCTATCTATCTATCTATCTATCTATCTATCTATCTATCTATCTTACCATGATTCTTTCGTCTTTCCTTTCTTTCTTTATCTATCTATCTATCTATCTATCTATCTTACCATGATTCTTTCGTCTTTCCTTTCTTTCTTTATCTATCTATCTATCTATCTATCTATCTTACCATGATTCTTTCGTCTTTCCTTTCTTTCTTTATCTATCTATCTATCTATCTATCTTACCATGATTCTTTCGTCTTTCCTTTCTTTCTTTATCTATCTATCTATCTATCTATCTATCTTACCATGATTCTTTCGTCTTTCCTTTCTTTCTTTATCTATCTATCTATCTATCTATCTATCTTACCATGATTCTTTCGTCTTTCCTTTTCTTTCTTTATCTATCTATCTATCTATCTATCTATCTTACCATGATTCTTTCGTCTTTCCTTTCTTTTTATTTATCTATCTATTCATCTATCTATCTATCTATCTATCTAACCATGATTCTTTCGTCTTTCCTTTCTTTCTTTATCTATCTATCTATCTATCTATCTATTTTACCATGATTCTTTCGTCTTTCCTTTCTTTATCTATCTATCTATCTATCTATCTATCTATCTATCTTACCATGATTCTTTCGTCTTTCCTTTCTTTATCTATCTATCTATCTATCTATCTATCTATCTATCTATCTCAGTCTGTCTATATCTACCGATCTCATTCTGTTCATATCAATTTAACTGTGTTACTGACTTTATCTATATATCTATCTATTATGGTAACTTACCCACGCACGCATGTTCATTGCTTATATACATATAAATCAATTTGGTTTTTTCTATCATACCAGTAAAAATAAGTCTTTCATTCTTTCTTTCTTTCTTTCTTTCTTTCTTTCTTTCTTTCCAATAAAATTAATCTGTTTGCCAATTACCTCCTCTGTTAACTCGTGGCTTCCTCATAATGCTTCACTATGCCTTTCTTTACTATTCCCTTTCTTACATATCACTTTTGAAATATATCAATTTTATGCAATGACCGGCTGCAGGTTTCCCCTCAGTTCAAATTGAAATCGAGAATGATTCATCAAATTGCTCCAATGTAAACCCGTGGATTGTTCATCATGCTTCCTTCTACGACGGCCAGGGTAAAACATTCATTCACTTAGTTATTGGTTATTCGCCTCCCGTAAGACGAAAGTGTCATGTGGTCAGGATTTCGGGAGACAGAATCGGAAGGCACTGTCGTCAAGGAAACGAAGCAGATATTCGATGTTTCTGTTCTTTGCTAGTAACATGGCGACTTATTCTTTCTAATATTGTTTGCGCGAGAAAGAGACAGTGTCTCCGAAACATGTCGCCAGTCGTCGGATTATCTATCTATCTATCTATCTATCTATCTATCTATCGCAGTCTGTCCATTATCTATCTATCTATCTATCTATCTATCTATCTATCTATCTATCTATCTATCGCAGTCTGTCCATTATCTATCTATCTATCTATCTATCTATCTATCTATCTATAAGTATTTCTTTCTTTGTCATTCTTTCTTTGTTTTCTTCTATGTATGTATGTATATATATATATATATATATATATGTGTGTGTGTGTGTGTGTGTGTGTATATGTAAGTATATATGTATCTATGTATCTATTTATCTATACGTGTTTTTCACCATGTTATTGTCTTTTTCTTTCTGTCTATTTTTCTTCCATTCTATCTTCCTTCTGTATATCTATTGATTTTTCGTTCCGTCTTTCTCTCTCTCTTTCTTTCTTTCTTTCTTTCTTTTTTTTATCTATCTACCTATCTGTATTCATATCTATGTTTCTCAGTTTATTCATATATATATATATATATATATATATATATATATATACGTATTTCTTTCTTTGTCTTTTCTTTCTTTGATTTCTTCTATGTATATATATATATATATATATATATATATATATATATATATATATATGTGTGTGTGTGTGTGTGTGTGGATGTGTATATATATATGTATATGTATCTATATATCTCTCTGTCTATACTTGTTTCTCAACATGTCACTGTCTTTTTTCCTTTCTCTCTCTATTTTTTCTTCCATTCTATCTTTCTTTCTGTATATCTATCGATCTTTCGTTCAGTGTTTCTCTTTCTTTCTTTCTTTCATTCTTTTTTTATCTATCTATCACAGCCTGCTGATATCTATCTATCTATCAATGATTCCTTCACTCTCTATGAGTTTTGTGACACTATTTGGCTTGCTAAAAGGGAGAAAGGAGAAAAGAAAAAGGAAAGAAAATAAAAGAAAGTCGAGAATTAAAATTAGGTGATAAGAAGCCATCACGAAAAGGACACTAAGCGGTGTTATTTTTCTGACAAGGAAAAGTGGTAAAATTTTTATTGTCAAAAGGAAGATACTGGAATTAATCTGATTTCTGTTACGGGGCGGGTGGAAATCCCAGGTTGGTCAAATAACTTCAGAGCCTGAATTCTCAATAGATAAAAATTAACTGGGTCACAAAAAAACGAAAATATCCATTTGGACCACACAAAGTTACAAAAACAAAAGACCAAACCCTTAGTTATCTAAGGGAAAGTCGTTTGAAAAAGGCATCTGTTTTGTGTTGCAAACTGGCTGTGGTGGCGAAATTATTTTATCGGGAATAGATAACGCCAGAATGCGAAACGTCTAATTGATCACCCACTTGTTAATTGGCGAAAATCTCATTGACGAATTCCAGGTAATTCGGTTAAAAGATAAAAAGTCTAGGGTGTTAGGTCTCCTCGAACAGAAGAAAGAAAAGGAAAAGTAAGAAAAAAAAAGATATTTTTTTTTACTTTGACCAAGATTTTTTAAACCGAGGCTAGTCTGGCCACACCCACGCAGCTGAGCGCCCATTGGCTGAATAATAGCAGGAGTATTGGGCGGGGGTAATCATGGTAAGCAGGAGAGGAGGCCTGCTGGCACCCATTGAGGGGATAGTTGTGAGATGCCACTGTGAGAGAGAGGGAAAACAGTTGACACCCTCTGGGGGTATGTTGAGATACCAATACGAGAACAGAAGAAGGTGGGAGGACGAGAAGACTTCCAAAAATGGAAAATAATAAAATTTTCCTGACCGAAAAGAAAGAAGTGGATTGTGGGTTTGGAATTATCAAGGAACCTCAAACCCCGACAAGCCCACCACGGTTTTGGTCGGCGTCCATATAAGCAAAGTCGCAGCGAGCAAAAATCAGGTTTCAGTTCGAGTTTAGTTGAGATCCAGTTCGAGATCCAGTTGATTCCCAGTTGAGAGGATTGAGCTTGTCCCGCCTCGCAGAAGCTGACTAAGATTCACGCAATTCCGAACTCATCTTCTAATCAAGAACAATTTATTTTTGAAGAACGACTTAGACTCACACCACCAAAACAAGTTTTACGAATTTCGCCTGAAGACACATTAAGAACCAGTTTCTTTAAAGAACAAACAACTTAAGATGTTAAGACTCGCCTAACAAACACATAATGTCACGAATCCATATAGCGGGTTGGGAAAGAAGATTCAGTCCTGTACTCAGCAACCAGATATAAAGTAATGTTATATTTTTTTTAAACACATTTGAACTTTTCGAGTTATTATTTTCTTTTCTTTTACACATAATTGTGCGTTATCACCCTTATTCGAACTCAGCTTGCATTACGGCCCGGTGACAGATTGATTTCGTCTGCCTAAGATCAACGTGGGTAGGTTAGACTAGAAATCAAAGCAGTTACTTCGGTAACCAGATGTTGGAGGCAAGCTGGGAACGACAAAGCTGATACCGAATCTAACCAGATTCCCATTCGAATCACCAAAAGGTTAGAACGTCATAAGCCAGTTGGTTGTCACAGGACCAGATAGCACGACTGACGCAACCACACGGACGTCACGTTTGGCGCAGAGACACCGGCAGGGTACGTTCACAATTGGTGCCGTGACAGCAGGATAAGACCCTGGATCAGCCGCTGCCACAAGAGTTGCAGAAAAATTTCGACCAGGACAACGCCCGGCATCTCAAGGACTAGAGTAGGAACTAGTCTTCTTCCCCAACCCGCTATATGGATTCGTGACACTTTGGTTGGCTGTAACCATACATTTCCAGATACTCTAGTACGACAGCCCGGAACCTGAGAAGAACGAGCTGAAAATCGTCTTTCAGGTAGGAGACATTATTTTCGGTTGATCTCCCAAATTCGATTGTTGCTGCTCAGATTGTTTTTCGTTTACTGTGTTAAATATGTCTGACTATGAACCGGATAGGGTAGACATAGAGGAAGATGGGGTTAGACAGGGATTGCAAGCAGACCTGAGAAAATTATTGGGTGGACCGAGGGTCCAGGCGTTTGACGGTAGTAAAAAAGATTTTAAAAATTGGCTGGCAATCTTAGATAAGAGCCGCGTAATATATAGACTCTCAGACCAAGAGGCCCTATATTTGGCGTATGATGCCACGAGAGGGAAAGCGTCTGAGTTTGTAAAAGGACTCTTAGACAGTGAGCCACACTGGACATGGGAAAGGTTGGAAAATTATTGACTCGGGAGTTTGCTGACGAGGGGACGCCGATAGAGGCCATGAGAGCCCTCCTGAAGATGACGCATCTGAGGGACGAAACCCCTGGAGAATTGGGGACCCGAACGGAGAAGCTGTCGTCATTAGTTTTCCCAGAGGTAGTGAGAAATAATGCGGTCATGCAGGCCCAGTTGGCTGATCTGTATGTAGAAGCACTCAGTGACGAGCGTGTTCGTCACGATGTTTTAAAGGAAGGACCGCTAAGGTTATCGGCAGCAGTGGCGCTGGCCGAAGAGAGCCAGGGAGTTTGGAAGAAGCAAGAGCTAAGTCGAGAGGTCGGAAGAAAGGGGAAGGAGGAAGACCCCCCCCCGCGTGGAATCGGAAGGTCATGCTAGAGGTGGAGGAGCCTGAGGTATGGGAAGAAGATCGCCATAGAAAGGCTTGGTCAACAAGGTATGGGTTCTATAAGCCCACGACGGGTTGATACGGACTGGTCTGCTGGACATGTGGGCATGAGGATCAAAGAGCAGCGGAATGTCCGACGAAGTGGGGTTTGCCCCCAGACTTCGAACGGGATAAGTGTACTAGGTGTGGAAAGAAGGGACACCTAGCCAAATGGTGCGGGTTGAGAAAAGGTGCCCCACCGATAGTAATAAAAAAAGGCCGAGCCCAAAAGACAGGACCAGGGAAAAGCCAGAGGGCCACCCCGGAATTATGAGGGAGGGTGGACCAGTTAAAAAGAAAGAAAGTAAAACGTTGGACATGTGGTCAGGAGAGCCACTTAGGTAGAGGGCAGTTCCCCCCCCCCTAGGAATAAGGGAGAGGGTGGCCCAGTTGAAGAGGGGAAGAGTAAGATGTTGGAGATGTGGTCAGGTGGGCTAATTTGCGGTAAACTGTCCAACAAGAAGGTGCTGGTTTTGTAGGAGACCAGGACACCTGAAGAAGAATTGTGTTCTTAGGAACAGCCGCAAGAGACTGGGAGAGGTCCCGGTGCAGAAAACGCAGAACTCTCCCATATGAGAATAATGAAAGTAATTTATTGTTATCGGCGCCTATGGCTGGGATGACCCAGAGGTGAGAACCCAGAAAAAGGAAAGCCCAAGTGTTCTCTTCGCTGACGCAAGAGAAGGAGCTATCCTTTAGGGCAGAGATAGGGGGTAGGGCGATGGAAGCCTTGGTAGACACAGGAGCATCTGTTTCATTGCTGAGAGAGGAGGCATACAGGCGGGTGAAACGGAAGAGTGGGTTACGGGAAGCGGACATAGAGGTCACACAGGCAGATGGAGCCCACCCCCGGAGATAAAAGGGATGGCGAGGCTCCCTGTGAGGATTGGGAAATTAAAAAGTGTCAAGTGATTTACGTAAGCCCCAACCTGTGTACAAATCTTGTGAGAAGATTGGCTTCAGAGCCAGAGGGCTCGGATAGAGTTCAACCCCACTGTGCTGGTGGTGAATGGCGAGAGAACGCCATTGGGATGCCCACCGGAAGAAGATATAACGATAGTGGGGGAGAAAGATGTAAAGCTACCCCCCAGAACGGCGGTGTCGGGAAAGGGTAGGCTAATGACAGGGAAAAAAATAGGAAAAGGAACCCTGCAATTGGTCCCTGTAGAAGGGAAGGGCCTAGAAGAAAATGAGGTAACTCTGTGTGAGGCAGTAGTGGAGGCAGCTGAATTAGTGCCCAGTATGATGGTGAACCAGGCCCAAAAGACGATAAAGGTGAAGAGAGGAGAAGATCATCATCAGCTGTTGCTGGAACAACAACATAAAATATTTGTACATTAGTAGAAGAATAAAGAGGGCACAGAAGAGAAGAAATGAGAGAGTGAATGCTGAAAGAAAGGTAGTAGAATTGAAGGTTGGAGACTCTGTCTACTATAAAATCCACCAGAGAGAAGGAAAGCTGGACTAGAGATGGGAACCGTACTACCGGATAGTAGAGCAGACGGGTCCAGTATCATATGTAATATGGGATCAAGTGGCAGGACGAGCAAGGAAGGCCCATGCCAACGATCTGAAGAAGGCTGAAATAGTTAACCTGGAAATGAGCGAACCGAGGTCTAAGAAGACAAGGACAAGGAAGGTAACTCTGGTTGAACCGGAAGAAATGGAGACGGAAGAAGATAGATCGACTTGGCCAGATAGACGAAGCGATCCGAGTGACGGAGTTGGAACCCTCGCCGGGGATCAGCGGCGTTCAGCCGTCGTCTGAATCGGTGCAGAGAAGACCCTGTGATGTCAGCATCGCACCCCCATGTCCAAAGAAAAGGAAGAGAAAAACGAAGAGATCCAATCATCAGTCAAGGGCTCTAAAAAGAGGTACCCTAAACAAGACAAAGAATTCAACGAGTGGGAGGAATAGGATCAAATACCCCTTTCCAAGCTCAAAGAAAGGCTAAGAAACAGGAGAGATTTAGACATCGAGTCAAGAAGTAATGAAGACGTCCAGGGCGAGGACTCTAAACAGAAGGAAGAATCAGGAGAGGGAGAAGGGACAAAACACCCCCTGAACGGGAATTAAACACCGAGGGAAGGTTAGAGGTCGAGCAGGAACTACCTCTGAAGATGAGATTGAGAAGGGTGAAGAACCCTAAGTCTCAGTAGAACAAGGAAGGCTGTGCAGAATAGAAGCACTCGGTGCCGACAGATAGCGACACTGGCTCATCCAAAAACCTACTAGCTGACTGACTGTGGATGGATGGGGATGG